CAAAATGTCTTCAAACCTCGGAAACAAAGTCCACTTTTAATATCTGCTGCAAGTTATTTTTAATTTAAAGAAGTTTAAATTTTGATGAATGGTCAAATGATCCCTTTTTTCTTTTGAATGTCTAGGTCTATCCATGTCAATGACCAACCTAACTTTAGCCATTCTTGAACCTAAAACTAATCTGAGTATCGTGAACGGCTGCCGGGCTACACTTTGGACGCCCCTGCTCAAAGCATTGAATAAAAACTGCTATGTTAATGGCTGCAGGGGCTTAAACGTGTCGCTGTTCATATAGAGCAGTTTAACGCGTAACTTTTTCACCTGGTTTGTTAACAGCCAAAGACTTCATTCGGAACTTGATGGAAAAAAACCCAACGACGCGCTTCACCACTGAACAGGCACTCCGACATCCTTGGTGAGTTCCACACAAACAGCTTCTGTGAGCTTATCTTTTGGTTTTTATTCCTACTAACATATCCCACTCATATGATATCAGGATTGCTGAGCACACGGCCAAAGACCTGGACATCTATCAGTCCGTCTGTGAACAGATGGGGAGAAACTTTGCCAAATCTAAATGGAAGGTTTGTGATGCTGTTGTTTTCTACTTTAATGCAGCAACATTTTCTTTTATCAATTAAAAGTGTAAGAAGAGTGATAAAAAAAACTGTTTGCTACTTATTGTGATCGACCTTCTAAAAGGCTCGATGTTTGATTTTTTGATTCTGGATCCAGTCATCAAATATGAGAACTGATCCTGGGTCTGGTTCTGCTGGAGGTTACCTCCTGTCAATAGAGCGTAATTCCTACTCTCGTTTACTCACATGCAGCAGAATTCTGGCCTTGTCTGGATTTTTGAGCATCTTTCCAAACACCGAGCTGAATGATTTGAGCGCTTATTTCATGTAAGCATATCACCAAAGTGTATTTGATTATTAAGGGAAGCTGTGGCCCAAGGAGATCAAGTAATTGAGTTACGATCAGGAAGCTTATATTCCTCACTGAGGTATCATGATGACTCGAACCAGTAGACATGTTACAATAGCGTGTCAAGAAATAAAGACGCAAATGAACTCTAAAAAGAAAGGAGAAGAATCAAGCTTCTTGTCAGTGTTCAGTCCTCTGTTATACAGTCGGAAATTTGTCTACATTTCTATTGCTAAAACTACCAGCAATGTTGAGAAGACGTTTTCCTGAGGCAATAGTCCAGGAAAATGTTTTCATATTTCAAGCTTGGATTCATTGGATGCATCAGAGTACTCTTCTTTGTAGCTTGGGTCTAAATCACCAGCTTATTGTGATATGAGGTTAGCCAATATCACAGAGTCTGTCCAAAACCATTTCCTAGGGATGCACGATATTGGGATTTTGGCCGATATCCGATATGCCGATATTTTAAAACTCATGTAGC